GTCGAGCAGCAGAAGAAGCAGCGCGGCTGGCGACACAGGAGGCTGCTAGAAGGGCACAGGCTGCCAGACTGGCTGACCAGGAAAGGCTGGAGGCAGAGGAAGCAGCTCGCATGGAAGCAGAAGCAGCTGCAAGAGAAGCAGAACAGGCCGATAGCAGTGTGGTGGTGCTGTGAAAGACAGGAGACAAGGGGGATTAAAAGACGTTAAACGTCATGCGGTCATGCGGTCATGCGGTCATGCGGTCATATTTATTCAGTTTTTTGGATTCGGATGGATTCAGGGTCAGCAGTTAGATGCAGAGACCCTACCTCGGCCTTTTGCAAGCTATTTTTTCTACGATTGAGTTGCAGCAGGTCCATCAGTGGGAAGTGGAAGATGTTGTGGTGGCCTGGCCCAATCTTAGTTTTGCTTTGCTTCACCTTGTATCCGGCAAAGTCGGAAATCGAAAACATGACTGCAATGCAAGAAATGCAAGTCTATTTTGGCCGGGGGCTTTTGTCGGCAAATGTTCGCAACGAATTCACAAGGACATGCAAGGACTATGTTGGTGCCATAGCATTCCAGTTTGATTTACGCCTGGTGCCACCCTTTCACTTTTTTTTTCCAAGTGCCTGATAAAGCCCACAGAGCCGGAGTTGGGTAGATCATCCTGGATCATTGTATATATTTGTATATCATTTTGTAGCAGGTCTATCAAGCACCTTCAGAGTCAAGGATCATTGTGCATCATGGGACAGGGATTTCAAGCATCACACAGTGCAAAGTGAAAGGAACTGCATGGCCTGAAATCTGCTGCCCTCAATGGTCAGGCGTGATAAGGGAGTAAAAGGCAAACATGTTGGTAGATGATGCATTGATACATCTTGAATCATGTCGATACATGTGAAATAGTTCAGTGATTCCCCTATATAGTTTTTTCCTGTTTTCTTCCTGGATTTCTTGAAGGCTTTGTTACGATACACATACGCATTGTTTTGTTCACAAACAGGGGTAGGCGGTATTTTCTGAGTTGTTCCTCGGGTGCTACTTGCGTTTTGAACTTGACCTCGGCTGTCAGACATTGGCCCCATTCACAGCTCCGTTTCCACAGTTGTACATGTAGTACCTTACATGCACCACCATGCATTTGGAGCGGCCTGCAGACTGGCATGGTGGTAGACATTCCTCAGATGAGTGACGATGGAGAGGCGTGAGAGGGGTAGGTTCAGAGGGAGGCAGAATAGTTTTTTTTTGAATTTGTAGTGTGATCCTCAAATCTGCCAAGTGCACCGCACCTGTGGGTGCAATGAAGAGTATAGCATCTATATATTGTGATCTACGCTAACAGTCACTAAAAAAAATATAATTATCATCGCATCATGTTACGTGTTACGGAGCTTTGAAAGTCACTGCGTCATTGCAATGATTGTCAGTGCGATGACTGTCACTGCAATGAACATCACTGTAATGAAAATCATGCAATGATTGGCACTGCAATGAAAGTCATTGCAGTGATTGTCACTGCAATGACTGGCACTGCAATGAAAGTCATTGCAGTGACTGTCACTGTGATGACTGTCAATGCAATTACAGTCACTGCACTGACTGTCACTGCAGTTAAAGTCACTGCAGTGATTGTCACTGCAATGACTGGCACTGCAATGAAAGTCACTGCAATGATTGTCACTGCAATGATTGTCACTGCAATGACTGTCACTGTAATGAAAGTCACTGCCACTGCAATGATGTCAATGCAATGACTAACACTGCGATGAAAGTCACAGCCATGACCATGACTGTCACTGCAATGAAAGTCATTGCAAAGCTTCACTTTCATAACTTCAGCTTGCAGTTTTTGAAGGAAGTCTCGCACGAAAGCGTCGTTTTCACTTCAACTTGCAGCTTTTGAAAAAAGTCTTGCACAAAAGCTTCGTTTTCAAATCGTCAACTTGTAGTTTTTGAGGGACTCTTCGCACGACACCCTCGTTTTCACAGCTTCAAGTCACGAAAGCGTCATTTCCACAACTTAAACTTGCAGGTTTTGAAGGAAGGTTGCGGCAATGAGTGTTTGCCGAGTTTTCTGGTTTTTGGATGTTTTTGGTGCCTTTGATTTTCCTCTTAAAATTGTTTTCAAAAAGTTTCAAAATCATATTTTTTTCGGCTTTGGTGCCGAGATCCAGTTTTGAAGCAGGCTTTTGGACAGCAGACACGTCTTTCTTGCCAACGTAACTTGACCGTATTTTACAACTCGGTGTTTACAAATCGGATTGGAATGGCCGCATCGCTGTTGCTATGCGTTGCTGTTGCCCACGTAGTTCTTTGGTCTCTTGCAACTCGGTGCTTGCAAATCGCAGTGGAGTGGGTGCGCCAAGGTTGCGATGATGAGTTTTTGTGGTTGTTTTTTGCTTCTGGGCTCTCCGTTTTCCTTGGAATTTCTTTAAGAAAACTTCAAAATCGTACTTTCTTTTTCTTTGGTGCGAAGTTTTGGACCAGAAACGAGCTAAGAGGCTGCGCTGAGAAGAGCTGAGGCTGAGCTGAGAAGAGCTGCAGAGCTGAGAAGAGTTGAGAAGAACTGAAATACTATCAATTAAATAAGCTGAGATGAGGAGAGAAAAGTTGAGAAAACTTGAGATAGATGAGAAGAGGAGATGAGCTGAAAAGAGTCGAGGTGAGATGAGAAGAGCTGAGAAAAGCCGAGAAGAGTTGAGAATAGATGAGAGGAGCCGAGATTTGCTAAGAAGAGAAGAGCTGAGGAGAAATGAGAAGAGATGAGCTGAGACGAAGGAAGAGTTGAGAAGAATGGAAAAATGAGAAGAATTGAGGTGAGCCGCGAAGAGCTGAGACGAGCCGAGAAGAACTGAAATGAGGAGAAGAGCTGAGAAGCGCTGAGATGAGCTGAGGATCAGAGATGAGAAGAGATGAAAAGAGAAGAGAAGAGCAGAAAAAATATGAAAAAATGATACTAGATGAGAAGAGATGTTCTCTGAGAAGAGATGAGATGAGAAGAGCTGAGAAGGGCTGAGATGAAAGAAGAGCTGAGGTGAAGAAAGAAGGGCTGAGAAGAGCTGAGATGAAAAAGAAGAGCTGAGATGAGAAGAGATGAGTTGAGAAAAGTTGAGACGACCTGGAAAGAAGTGAGAAGAGGTGGACATACATCAGATTCGAAGTGATGGAAAGAGTTGAGATCAGTTGAGAAGAGGAGAGCAGACATGATATGAGCTGAGATGACTTGAGAAGAAGTTGAGAAGAGGAAAAAAGAGGTGAAAAGACAGGAGATGAAATGAGATGAGATAAGCTGTCAGATGCAAAGAAATGGTTGTTGCAAAGCATAGAGTGCTGGCTTACATCCTAATACGCACAATCTTATTTTCGCTCCTATAGGCTTTCATGTTCGAAACTTCTGCCCCAGGCTTGCCCCGGTGCTACTTGTATTTGTCATCATGTATTGAAGGGATCGCGTATCATATATTTTTCTAAAGTGATCATCATGCAGCAATACTGCTAGGTAATTCTGCGCTTGAGTTCTGTGGTTACCCCTCTGGGACCAAAGTGTTGAATCGAAATGCAACGCCTTGAGACTTCTGTAGGCACGACTCGGGGTCATGCTGGAGGGCCGGTCAGCACCAGTGGCAACTTGGCCAAAGATGCAAAAGAGGTGAATTCTTAGTGAGGCGAAGGTTGGTCTGAAAAGGATAAGTTTGCTTGCTTACTTATCTTACTTGCTTGCTCGCTTGCTTGCTTGTTTGTTTGCCTGTTTGTCGGTGATGCTTGAAGCTTCTAGCACACAGAACCGGGTCTAAAGCATGCCAAAGCCGGCTTCGCTTCTCGTTTGTGCATCGTGATGACGAAGTGGCAGCAATCAATCTGCGGCGCCGGCATTCACTTGTTGCGAAATGTCAATCACAGGACAAGCTAGTGGGTATATGAACCCGCGCTTTCACATCCAACAGCGCCGGCGAAACCCCAAATAGACCCACTGGTTGTTGAACAGTTTGCGAACTGGAACATCACCCGCGCTTTCATGGTTATTAAATCCTCCTTGAAAATTCCACTACGAAAAGGTAGGGCATATCTCCTGTAGCAGGCATGCTTCCTATACCAAAATGTGCCTAGTCCCCTAGGGTGTTCCCATGATTTTTTGATATTTTTTGTATCCAGTCAATTTTGGATAATTTGCCTAGGTTGTGAAGTTGTTTTTGTAGGACTTTCAGCTCTATGTTTTCAGAGGCTTATCTTGGGATACCAGACCCCGGCTTGACCAAATTGTAGCAAGGTTGGTTCTGTTTTTGTAGGTTTCCATTTTGTACCTACCAAGTATGTGCATGCATAAAGCTGCATGGAGTGGATGTGCAGACGTTTTTTTGTAACAGCCTGCCATGACTCATGCTACCTTGTCAAATTCTTGCACCTCGCCCTTTCCAGGTAGCTTGACTGCCCACACTGTTCCTTGAAAGATAATATATATAGATATGTATATATATATATGTGATTATATGTATATATTACAATCCCCTCAAAAAGGGAAAGTCTCATGAGATCTCATGAGTATGTCCATACTGTGATAGGGTGTTTCTCAATTTTGAATTGCGTGTGTTTCTCTAACTCTATTTTGCATTCATGCTTTGAGTTGCTTCTTCAGCAGACTCATTGAAAAGGATGGTTGCATGACAGTTAGGCTTACCAATGCGAAATAACAATTCCGGCCCTTCCCAATTTGTAGCGGAGAGATTACGCGTGTGTTTTTTTCTCCATATCTTTCGCTGCCCTTTTGTTTCACATTACATGTTCAAACACCTTGAGAAAGCGGCCGTTGGTTTCATGACTATTTCCTGTATATGGTGGCTTGCTTCATGATTTTGTGTTCTTGCTCTTGGGCAGCTGCCCTTTCAACTACGAAGCATCCTCAAAAATGTTAGTTAAGAATGGTGGTGCGTGACCAGAAAACCTTGACATGTAACGTAAAAATCACTTTTTGTATCTTTTTGTAGTGTCTGGATGCTGCCCTTTCCAATTTGTAGCGGGGAGATTGCGCGTCTTTCTTTTTGCAGGCTCCTCGCTCATACCTGCGAAACAAACCATCTTGTGCCTGCGTTGATTGTTCTTTTGGCGAGCAACTGAAGAAGCAGCTTACCTGTGTCATGCTTCCATCCTGGTCATGTACTAGCACCCAGCATCAAAAACATGTGTTACATTGCACACTTTTGTCAAGCCATAAGGCAGGTTCCATCACACTGTGCCCTTTTCCCCATGTCTCCTAAGTTGCTTGTCTCTACGTCCCCAAGTCAAACCCTAAAGGTATGGAGTTCAAACAGAGAGGCAGAAGAGGATGCTGGCCCCCAGGTCTCCCTAACTAACCCGCCCAAGTCAAACTTTGCGAGGAAAGTAGATCCAATATGATCTATAATTAGTTTGGACCCAGAGACTTCCAGCGGCCATAACAACAAAAGGCAAAATATGCCAAGATTTGCCAAGAGGTCTTATGTTTTCCTGGTTGAGACTCCTATGTCAAGATAGCCTACAAAAAGACCCTTTGGAACAGACGTCATGCCCAGGGAGCGCTAGAAAGAGAAACGACTTCGGCAGCAACACTGGGCAGACACAAAAAGCACTCCAGTTTTTGATTACCATGTTTTGATGGTCTTTGAAACCATTTGGTCTGTGGCTAAGCTTTTTGTATCTTATATAATTTAGTTTTTGTAAGGAAAGATTTTTAACTTGACCAGGCTTTCTGTAGTGCTGCGGGGTTGTACCCAGCCAGAAGGCACCTACATCAAGAGGAGACAACCTCTTCCCCAAAATTTCAACGGGGATGTTATTAATGGTTATTAGAACTATTAAGAAGTCTATGGCTTGTGTGGGCGAACATGGCTGCCTCTTCAGGAGAGTCAAAAGTTTGTTGCTCAACCAAGGCCATCAAGATCTCGAACCTCCGATTCCTCTACAATCAGGCGGAGGTGCGGCAGATGTTAGCTATAAGGCTGCACCTGCAGCTGCTGTAGCGGTCATTGCAAAGTCAAACCACGAATTCAACCTTTTGTGTGCAGACAGGCGTTCACTGACTGAAGCCTGCCACAATTATACACATAGTGCACAAAGTAATGCAAAACAGATCGAATTTGCCTGTGTCCGATGCTGCAGGAAGACAGGCTGGCATCTGAAGAAGACAGGCTGGCATCTGAAGAAGATAGGCTGGCATCTGAGGAAGAGGACAGGTTAGCATCAGAGGACGAGCATTTGGAACGAGAAGCAGCTGCAAAAGAAGCAGAAGAAGAGGCTGCAAGAGAAGAAGAGCGTCGGGCAGCAGAAGAAGCAGCACGGTTAGCAACACAGGAGGCTGCCAGGAGGGCGCATGCTGCCAGACGGGCTGAACAGGAAAGGCTGGAAGCAGAGGAAGCAGCTGCAAGAGAAGCAGAAGAGGAGGCTGCAAGAGAAGAAGAGCGTCGAGCAGCAGAAGAGGCAGCGCGACTAGCGACACAGGAGGCTGCTAGAAGGGCACAGGCTGCCAGACGGGCTGAACAGGAAAGGCTGGAAGCAGAGGAAGCAGCTCGCATGGAAGCAGAAGCAGCTGCAAGAGAAGCAGAAGAAGAGGCTGCAAGAGAAGAAGAGCGTCGAGCAGCAGAAGAAGCAGCGCGGCTAGCGACACAGGAGGCTGCCAGAAGGGCGCATGCTGCCAGACGGGCTGAACAGGAAAGGCTGGAAGCAGAGGAAGCAGCTCGTATGGAAGCAGAAGCAGCTGCAAGAGAAGCAGAAGAGGAGGCTGCAAGAGAAGAAGAGCGTCGGACAGCAGAAGAAGCAGCACGGCTAACAACACAAGAAGCTGCCAGAAGGGCAGAGGCTGCCAGACGGGCTGAATTGGAAAGGATGGTAGCAGAGGAAGCAGCACGCCTAGAAGAAGAATCAGCAGCAAGAGAAGCAGAAGAGGAAGCTGCAAGAGAAGAAGAGCGTCGAGCAGCAGAAGAAGCAGCGCGACTAGCGACACAGGAGGCTGCTAGAAGGGCACATGCTGCCAGACTGGCTGAACAGGAAAGGCTGGAAGCAGAGGAAGCAGCTCGCATGGAAGCAGAAGCAGCTGCAAGAGAAGCAGAACAGGCGGATAGCAGTGGGGTGGTGCTGTAAAAGACAGGAGACAAGGGGGATTAAACGACATTATGTAAATGTAATTTGGTCATATTTAGTCAGTTTTTCGGATTCGGATGGATTCAGGGTCAGCAGTTAGATGCAGATACCCTACCTCGGCCTTTTGCAAGCTATTTTTTCTACGATTGAGTTGCAGCAGGTCCATCAGTGGGAAGTGGAAGATGTTGTGGTGGCCTGGCCCAATCTTAGTTTTGCTTTGCTTCACCTTGTATCCGGCAAAGTCGGAAATCGAAAACATGACTGCAATGCAAGAAATGCAAGTCTATTTTGGCGGGGGGCTTTTGTCGGCAAATGTTCGCAACGAATTCACAAGGACATGCAAGGACTATGTTGGTGCCATAGCATTCCAGTTTGATTTACGCCTGGTGCCACCCTTTCACTTTTTCCAAGTGCCTGATAAAGCCCACAGAGCCGGAGTTGGGTAGATCATCCTGGATCATTGTATATATTTGTATATCATTTTGTAGCAGGTCTATCAAGCACCTTCAGTGTCAAGGATCATTGTGCATCATGGGACAGGGATTTCAAGCATCACACAGTGCAAAGTGAAAGGAACTGCATGGCCTGAAATCTGCTGCCCTCAACGGCCAGGCGTGATAGGGGATCAAAAGGCGAACATGTTGGTAGATGATGCATTAATACATCTTGAATCATGTCGATACAGTCGATACATGTGAAATAGTTCAGTGATTCCCCTAGTTTTTTCCTGTTTTCTTCCTGGATTTCTTGAAGGCTTTGTTACGATACACATACGCATTGTTTTTTCACAAGCAGAGGTAGGCGGTGTTTTCTGAGTTGTTCCTCGGGTGCTACTTGCGTTTTGAACTGGACCTTGGCTGTCAGACATTGGCCCCATTCACAGCTCCGTTTCCACAGTTGTACAAGTAGTACCTTACATGCACCACCATGCATTTGGAGCGGCCTGCAGACTGGCATGGTGGTAGACATTCCTCAGATGAGTGACGATGGAGAGGCGTGAGCAGGGTAGGTTTCAGAGGGAGGCAGAATAGTTTTTTTTTTTGAATTTGTAGTGTGATCCTCAAATCTGCCAAGTGTACCGCACCTGTGGGTGCAATTAAGAGTACGAGTATAACGTATATATATATATATATGTATATATATACACATATATATCGTTTATATTCTCCATCTACACTAACAGTCACCAACAGATATGTCATACATGATATATGTCATCATATATTGAAGGGATCGCGTATTTTTCTGAATTCATTATCACGCAGCAATACTGCTAGGTAATTCTGCGCTTTAGTTCAGTGGTTACCCCTCTGGTACCAAAGTGTTGAATCGAAATGCAACGCCTTGAGACTTCTGTAGGCACGACTCGGGGTCATGCTGGAGGGCCGGTCAGCACCAGTGGCAACTTGGCCAAAGATGCAAAAGAGGGCCCGGCAGGGTGAATTCTTGGTGTGGTGAAGGTAGAAATTGCACCACCCAAAGTTGGTCCTGAAAGCATGATTTTGCGAGTTTGTTTGTTTGCCTGTTTGCCTAGGCCGGCGCTAAAGCCCAATAGAGGGCGCACATAGCTGTGGGTGCAAGGAGAAAGTAAGAGTGGTGGACGCACTTTGCTTGTTGCTATCCTGTGCCTGTTTGCCGGTTCTAGAACACGGTACCGGGTCTAAAGCATGCCAAAACCGGGTTGGCTTCTCGTTTGTGCATCGTGATGACGAAGTGGCACAAATCTGCGGCGCCGGCATTCACTTGTTGCGAAATGTCAATCACAGGACAAACTAATTAGTGAGCTAGTGGGTATATGCAACTGAGAGAACCAGGCTGCCTCTTCAGGAGAGTCAAAAGTTTGTTGCTCAACCAAGGCCATCAAGATCTCGAACCTCCGATACCTCTACAATCAGGCGGAGGTGCGGCAGATGTTGGCTATAAGGCTGCACCTGCAGCTGCTGTAGCGGTCATTGCAAAGTCAAACCACGAATTCAACCTTTTGTGTGCAGACAGGCGTTCACTGACTGAAGCCTGCCACAGTTATACACTATAGTGCACAAAGTAATGCAAAACAGATCGAATTTGCCAGTGTCCGATGCTGCAGGAAGACAGGCTGGCATCTGAAGAAGACAGGCTGGCATCTGAAGAAGATAGGCTGGCATCTGAGGAAGAGGACAGGTTAGCATCAGAGGACGAGCATTTGGAACGAGAAGCAGCTGCAAGAGAAGCAGAAGAGGAAGCTGCAAGAGAAGAAGAGCGTCGGGCAGCAGAAGAAGCAGCACGGTTAGCAACACAGGAGGCTGCCAGGAGGGCGCATGCTGCCAGACGGGCTGAACAGGAAAGGCTGGAAGCAGAGGAAGCAGCTCGCATGGAAGCAGAAGCAGCTGCAAGAGAAGCAGAAGAGGAGGCTGCAAGAGAAGAAGAGCGTCGAGCAGCAGAAGAGGCAGCGCGACTAGCGACACAGGAGGCTGCTAGAAGGGCACATGCTGCCAGACGGGCTGAACAGGAAAGGCTGGAAGCAGAGGAAGCAGCTCGCATGGAAGCAGAAGCAGCTGCCAGAGAAGCAGAAGAAGAGGCTGCAAGAGAAGAAGAGCGTCGAGCAGCAGAAGAAGCAGCGCGGCAAGCGACACAGGAGGCTGCCAGAAGGGCGCATGCTGCCAGACGGGCTGAACAGGAAAGGCTGGAAGCAGAGGAAGCAGCTCGCATGGAAGCAGAAGCAGCTGCAAGAGAAGCAGAAGAGGAAGCTGCAAGAGAAGAAGAGCGTCGAGCAGCAGAAGAAGCAGCGCGGCTAGCGACACAGGAGGCTGCTAGAAGGGCACAGGCTGAACAGGAAAGGCTGGAGGCAGAGGAAGCAGCTCGCATGGAAGCAGAAGCAGCTGCAAGAGAAGCAGAACAGGCCGATAGCAGTGTGGTGGTGCTGTGAAAGACAGGATACAAGGGGGATTAAAAATGATTAAAAGACGTTAAACGTTATGCGGTCATGTGGTCATATTTAGTCAGTTTTTCGGATTCGGATGGATTCAGGGTCAGCAGTTAGATGCAGATACCCTACCTCGGCCTTTTGCAAGCTATTTTTTCTACGATTGAGTTGCAGCAGGTCCATCAGTGGGAAGTGGAAGATGTTGTGGTGGCCTGGCCCAATCTTAGTTTTGCTTTGCTTCACCTTGTATCCGGCAAAGTCGGAAATCGAAAACATGACTGCAATGCAAGCAATGCAAGTCTATTTTGGCGGGGGGCTTTTGTCGGCAAATGTTCGCAACGAATTCACAAGGACATGCAAGGACTATGTTGGTGCCATAGCATTCCAGTTTGATTTACGCCTGGTGCCACCCTTTCACTTTTTCCAAGTGCCTGATAAAGCCCACAGAGCCGGAGTTGGGTAGATCATCCTGGATCATTGTATATATTTGTATATCATTTTGTAGCAGGTCTATCAAGCACCTTCAGTGTCAAGGATCATTGTGCATCATGGGACAGGGATTTCAAGCATCACACAGTGCAAAGTGAAAGGAACTGCACGGCCTGAAATCTGCTGCCCTCAACGGCCAGGCGTGATAGGGGATCAAAAGGCGAACATGTTGGTAGATGATGCATTGATACATCTTGAATCATGTCGATACAGTCGATACATGTGAAATAGTTCAGTGATTCCCCTAGTTTTTTCCTGTTTTCTTCCTGGATTTCTTGAAGGCTTGACGAAGTAGAGTGCATGATTTGTTTCGATACACGCATTATTCCCAAAAGCATCTCCGGTGCTTGGGTTCTCGTTTAGCTTCCTTCGCCGCGAGGGGAGCGAGACAGAAGAGCCGGACGAGCAAGGAAGGAAGGAAGGAAGGAAGGAAGGAAGGCAGGAAGGAAGGAAGGAAGGAAGGAAGGCACAAGCGCGGACAGAGTGGAAAGCGTAGAAATAGCTCGGAAATAGCTTGGGGGGATCTCCGCTGGAAGGAGCGAGACGGAAGCGCCGGACGAGCGTGGATGGACTGTGGAGCGTAAAAATAGCTTGGGGGGAGCTCCGCTGGAGGGAGTGAGACGGAAGCGCCGGACGAGCGACAAATTCCATCAATGCGATTGTGCCGAAACACTGTGCGCCCAAGACTTGTCAAGCGGTGTGCAAACACTGGGCGATGGGACATGCATAGCTTCGTTGGCAGGGAGCAAGGCTAAAAGAGCAGAGCTGTTGACACGGGTTTTTCAGGACAAATTCCATCAATGCTATTGTGCCGAAAAACTATGCGCCCAAGACTTGCCAAGCGGTGTGCAAACGCTGGGCATGCATAGCTTCGTTGGCAGGGAGCAAGGCTAAAAGAGCAGAGCTGTTGGCACGGGTGTTTCAGGACAAATTCCATCAATGCTATTGTGCCGAAAAACTGTGCGCTCAAGACTTGTCATGACTTGTGAAAGTTTCCAAACCTTGGCCAATGAGACATGCATAGCTTCGTTGGCAGGGAGCAAGATTAAAAGAGCAGAGCTGTTGGCACAGGTTTTTCAGGACAAATTCAATCAACGCGATTGTCCCGGAAAACTGTGCGCCCGAGACTTGTCAAATGGTTTCTTTAAACGCTGTGCAATGGGACATGCATGGGAAAAAGTTCGTTGTTGGAGGGGTTTTCATTTTGCACGGCGTTCTTTCCATTGATGAATCGTCTTCGCTCCATTCGCAGGGAAGCCAACTAAACGAGAACCCAAGCATAGGAGATGCATCAGCGTGAACGGACAGGTGGGTAAATAATTAGCTTGGGGAGAGCTCTGCTGGGAGGGAGCGGCATAAAAAAGTCAGAGCTATTGCACGGGTTTTGCACAGAGCAGCTTTTACACAGAGGAGCTTTACGCAGAGGCGCTTTTACACAGAGAAGCTTGTACACAGGGAGGACTTTACACACAGAAGCTTTTACACAGAGAAACTTTTACACACGAAAGCTTTTACGCACAGCAGCTTTTACACTCAGAATTTTTGCACCGAGAAGTCTTACACAAACGGGCTTTTTCACACAGACGCGTTTAAACAGAGCAGTCTTTACACAGAGGAGCTTTTACAAACAGAAGCTTTTACACACAGACGCTTTTACACACAGAAGTTTACACACAGACACCTTTACGGCGCACAGAAACTTTACAGAGAGCAGCTTTTACACAGCGAAGCTTTTACACACGGACGCTTTTACACAGAGAAGTCTTTGCACAGAGAAGTCTTGACACAGAGAAGCTTGTACACACAGAGGCTTTGACACGGAGAAGTCTTCTACACAGAGGAGCTTTTACACACAGAAGCTTTTACACACAGAAACGTTTACACACAGAGGAGCTTTACACGCAGAAAATATTACGCGCAGAAGCTATTACACACAGAAGCTTTACACGGGAAAATCTTTACACAGAGAAGCTCTTGCACACAGAAGCTTTTACACACAGAAGCTTTTACACTTACACAAAAACCTTTCCACACAGGAGCTTTTACACACAGAAGCTTTTACATAGAGTAGCTTTTACACAGAGAAGTCTTTGCACAGAGAAGTCTTGACACAGGGAAGCTTGTACACACAGGGGCTTTGACACAGAGAAGTCTTCTACACAGAGAAGCCTGTACACAAAGGAGCTTTTACACAGAAGCTTCTACACACAGAAACGTTTACACACACAGAGGAGCTTTACACGCAGAAGCTATTACACGCAGAAGCTATTACACACAGAAGCTTTTACGCGGGAAAACCATGGAAAACCTTTACGCAGAAAAGGTCTTACACATAGAAGCTTTTACACGCAGAAGCTTTTTACACAAAAAACTCTCCACAGAGGAGCTCTTACCCACAGAAGCTTTTACACAGAGTAGCTTTTACACAGAGGAGTCTTTACACACGGACGCGTTTACACACAGAAGCCTTTACGCACAGAAGCTTTTACACATAGCAGCTTTTAGGCAGAGAAAACTTTACACAGAGAAGTCTGGTCTTGACACAGAGAAGCTTGTACACACAGAGGCTTTTACAAACAGAATTCTTTTTACACAGAGAAGTCTTTACACAGAGGGGCTTTTGCACAGAGAAGTCTTTACACAAATGAGATTTACACACAGCAGAAGCTTTTACACACAGACGCGTTTACACACAGAAGCTTTTACACAAGAGGCCCATGCGCACAGGAACCTTTACACAGAGCAGCTTCTGCGCACAGAAGCTTTTACACAAGGAAACTTTTACACAGGAAAGCTTTTACACACAGAAGCTTTTACCCAGAGAAACTTTTTACACCGAGAAGTCTTACACAGAGGAGCTTTTACACACAGACAGGTTTACAGAGGGAAGTCTTCACACAGACAAGTTTTTGGACACAGAAGCTTTTACACACAGATGCGTTCACACGCACACAGAAGGTTTTACACACGGACACCTTTACAGCGCACAGAACCATTTAGACAGAGCAACTTTTACACAGTGAAAGCTTGTACACACAGGAGCTTTTACACAGAAGCTTTTACACAAAGAAACTTTGACACACACATATAAATATAAACTTTTCCACACAGAAGTTTGGACACACAGATGCTTTTACACGGGAAATCCTTTACACAGAGAAGCTCTTACACACAGAAGCTTTTACACACACAGAAGCTTTCACACAAAAAGCTTTTACACACAGAAGCTTTTACATGCAGACACGTTTGCACAAAGGAGTCTTTACACAAAGGGGTCTTTACACACGGACGCGTTCACACACCGAAGCTTTTACACACAGAAGATTTTACACAGAGTAGCTTTTCCACAGAGAAGTCTTTACCAGAGAAGTTTTGACACAGAGAAGCTTGCACACACACACAAACACAGAGGCTTTTACATAGAGAAACCTTTTAACACAGAGAAGCTTTTACACAGAGGGGTTTTTGCAAAGAGGAGCTTTTACACAGAGAAACTTTTGCACATGGAAATTCTTACACACGGAAGCTTTTACACAAAGAGTTTTTACACAAAAAACCTTTACACAGAGGAGCTTTCACACACAGAAGCTGGTACGCAAAGAAGCTTTTACACGAAGAAACTTTTTACATACAGAAACCTTTTTACACAGAAGCTTTTTCACTCAGAAGTTTTGCCACAAAAAAAACCTTTACACAGAGGAGCCTTTACACACAGAAGCTTGTACGCACAGACGCGTTCACACACAGTAGCTTTTACGCATAGAAGGTTTTATACAGAGAAGTCTTTACACATCTTTTATCATGTCTCATTTTTCATGATCATTCATGATCTGTCACCTTCGCATCTTCATGTTCATGCTCTTTTGGTTAATTCCCTCCTGCTCTTCTTTCGGGCCACGCTGTTGTCCCGTGTTCTGTCCATCCACGCTTCGTCCTCGCTCCCCTTGCGGCGAATCAAACTAAACGAGAACCCAGGCATAATAAATAGCGACTAGAAAGATGGGATAGAGTTGCAGTAGCAGAAATAGCGACTAGAAGAATGTAGACGTAGCTGACGCAGCATGCTGTGGTGACCTGTGAACTGTGGCCCCTGATGCCATCACTGCGCACGATGTCTCAATAAAGATCTTGCGTCGGTTTCGTGCAGAGCACAGCTGCCCACATTCAGACATTGGCCCCACTCACAGCTCCGTTTCCACGGTTGTACAAGTAGTACAACACCATGCATGTGGAGCGGCCTGCAGACTGGCATGGTGGTAGACATTCCTCAGATGAGTGACGATGGAGAGGCGTGAGGAGGGTAGGTTTAACGGTGTCGCAGAATAGTTTTTTTTTTGAATTTGTAGTGTGATCCTCAAATCTGCCAAGTGCACCGCACCTGTATATAGGTGCAATGAAGAGTATCACACACACACATATATATATATATAAAATACATACAGTCATACAGTATTAAATACATATATATATATATATGTATACTATGTCATTCAACATATGTGCATATTATGATC